TATGTATGTTAGCAACTGTATTAGGTGTATTGTAATGGGTAAATAAGTTCAAATGAGTCACTGTTTCTTATAGTAAATATGGTAACAGGAAGCCTTTTTTTTCTGTATTTTTTTTATTTATAAAAAAAAAATATAGAGCAGAGTAAGTAGAGTAAGTACACTACAGTAAGTTTCCATTCAAAGATGCGAAACTTCTGCACAAAACTGGAATGTCACATAAAGCATTTGTGAATAAAGCACCCAACGAGTTGAAGAGAACAAAAACGTCACTTTGTGATAAAACTATTAACAAATATCTAAAAGATTTTTTTTTTATTGGCTGGTATAGGAGAAGCCTGAGGTCTTTTTTCTTGTAAATTGCTTGTGCCTCAGAAGACAAAATGCAACGAAGGTGCGGTATCTTTTGTAAGCGAAAGATGGCTCTTTGGGAGCACAGATGGCTGACAATTCTGGGAGATAACATTTCCAATAATTTACATTGTGGTCAGTCCACTGGTTTATCTATTAATCCCATCATGCCTTTTTTGTTATCACATGATCTATTAAAACAAAATCACATGACTTTATTGATGAGCATGCTGGAATGTATTCGATAAATGGGTTTCCACCGTAGTTTGCGCTCATTTTTTTTCTTATTGGATAAAAGGTTTATCCTACTTAGTATATCTTTTTATGCACATTTTGACATTTTACGCACATCTTGGTGTTTCCATTAACCATTTTTATGTGATTTTCCAAAATGTGCAGAAAAACAGGTTGTGTTAGGTAACTGAGCTTCTAATAGCAACTATATTTTTTACATAGCAACTTATTGCATCTAATCACACTGTATTGAATCCAATCAAATCGAAATCAAATCTTACTGCATCGTGATGGGGTGAATTGTATCAAAACGTATCATAGCTGTAGTAGGTGCTTCATATGTATCTTTAATGTATAATTGACTATGCATTAAATGTGTAATGCATCGGCCTCAGTTCTGAGATGTACATCCTTATTACAATCATACTGAATGCATTTCACATGCTTTAGATATTTCTGCAAACAGCATCTGGAAATAAACAATACTTGATCTTTTTTTTCCTTAGAACTCACTTAACTCATTTTCTGGTCCCAGTTGGCATTACTTATTCAATAACCACTTGCAATCCAGTTTAATCAGGCCCTATCTGTGCTGAAATAGTACTGGAGTGAGTCTAATTTGTGAAGGTCAGCACTATTTTCCTGGGACAATTTACCACATGGAAAGCAAGAGAAAAATAAAACAGTAGTTTAAAAATATGGTTTTAAAGCAATGGAGGCGAAAAAATAAATGAAGAACATTATAAACCAAGCACATATACTGTAATTTCAAAAAGTCTGCTGTTAAAGATTAAATAGTCAAATAGTGATTGCCTGCTGTATCTTCCAAACACATTCAGAATTGCAAGACAGACAACTGCACGGCAGAACATTTATATTAATATTAATGTTGCTTAGAGATTTGTATAATTTGTAAATGTACTATGAAATTTTCGAAATGTGTCATAATTAATTGCAAGTACTATAGTTATATAACAAACTCATTTAACTTTTTTTTAAATCATAAATATACAATGAACGAATCTTAAATCTTAAAATGTTTTGTGAGAATTACCCTCAAAAACAAAATGAATGTGCTAAACAAGATAAATGGTGATGCCTAATTTCATTATAAGTGTATGATTAAAGCTGGCTAATAAAAATTAATCTATAGATTCCCTTTTACAAAATCTTAATGCAATTAAAAATAATTCAAATAAATTATTTTAATAAAATATCTAAATCCTTTAGGTCACACTTTACAATAATGATTCAGTAGTAATGTATTTCTGTCATAAACACTCTCAGGATTTAGTATGGTAATGAATATGTATATGTCAATGTTGATGTATTTGGTCTTGGCGGTATAGACTTGCTTCGCTGCTATATACACAGACATGCCATCTGAGAATATATCACATTGCTGAAAACATAATATAATTGTAACCCCCATAGCAGATCTAAACACAGGTGGAGCTGTGGTGGAGAAAGGTCTTTGAAAACACGTCACAGCTTAAAAAGCGTAGAATGACTCAGGGCTTTTAAACTGATGAGGAGCAAGCTCATTGGCTGCAAAGACGACAGCAATCTCCTTCGCCATGTAGTTAATGAATTAGGTGACTTATCAACCCGTGCGTGCATAGTTTCATGCCAGAAATATCACGTACTAACATGTAATAATGGACAATACTTGCATAGAATTTTTTAATCATTGTTTAACATTCACTGATGCATTATCGTGGTTTGGACTAAATTCATTCTTCCATGGCAGGGCGCCACACGAAAATTTATCCCACCACAGCTACATTTAAGCCTCTCATTAAAAATATTCAGTCTGCTTTTTTTTAATAGTGGGTTATAATCACACCAAATCGTATTAAAAGGTAAATGAACTATAACAGCACAGCACTACAGAACTTTTCTGTAACCATAGTAGTGCTGTGTGTTAATTGTTTAACCCTTTAAGGTGACATGCTGACTGACTGACTAACAGACAGACAGACAGACAGACAGACAGACAGACAGACAGGTGCGTGATGCGTGAGGCCAGAAAACATGACGTAGCTTTCAGTCAAGATGAACACAGTTCCTATAATTACACTTTATAGATAAAGGTCTGTGGTTTTGCATACAAAAACTTTAACTTGCTGGAGTTTATGGCTGTTTCACTTTAGTTCAGGAAGCATCAATGCTGTTCTGTAGGTTTATTGGAGACATTCATAAATATTCCTAGCAAATCTAATAAATGTTGGAGACACACTTGTTACATAAACGCACTAAATCGCACTTCAGCGGTGTTTATTTGAGAGCGCACAAGAATGTGTAAAAGGCCTGCTACAGCTGGAAAAAATTCTAGAGGAAACACTGATTATTAAAATCCAAATTCATGTTCGTTAACACTGGTTAACCCTTAAAGACCGAGACAGCCGCCCGCGGCTAAAAATAAGTATTGCTCTTAAATGTTTAATAACTTTTGATCCGCTGATCCGATTCATACAACTCAAAGATTGGCATAAAGAAGAGAATCTCAGCTTTCCAGTGCTGTATCACATAACATTCGCGGACTTTCAGAGGCTCCGGAATCAGTGCGGTTACGTCATCAAAATTTGACAACGCTGATTTGACAAAGAAATTGGTTCAGATTGGTTCAAACTCGCTATATCACAACCAATAAGCATAGGTTTCGCTTTTGTTTGTGGACCAACAAGCTTTTTGAACAACACGGAATGAGAGATAGGCATACATTTATGCGCGGCTAAATAAAACGCAAAAAAAAATGTTTTGCATGAAATAGTTTTCATACTAAGTACTTTTGCATGCACAGCAGCACAGAAACATGACAAAACAGTGACACAGCAAAGACGAACTGCTGCTCTTGCTGTTTTCAAAAGACGCAAATGAAGGTGCAGCTGTTTGTCTGCATTGCAGACATCCAAATCCATATCCACAGACAACCATATCCATGCTGGCACATAAAACCTAAGGATGTTCCATATTGAATCTAGTTTAGTTATGTAATTATTTATGGTATAGTAAATATTTATATCTATTTTTTTACTGAGGATTTGCACCATGTTTATTTGGACTTTGACACATTATTTATTATTTTCTTATTTTTTTTATTTGTTCATTGTAAGTGGTGTTGTTTATAGTAACTGAAAATATATTATTTGGAAAAAGTCAAATTTGCTTCACTGTTCTATTATTTTGTAACATTTTTTTTTCTGTTTAGTTCATTCCCAGAACTTTTGGGCAAATACATTGTCAGTAAATAAATGCATTTTTTTCCCCCATAGAAAAACGCCTTGGAATAACATTGAAATAAATTGCTATAACTTGCTCAGGGAATTGTGGATGTAGACAAAATTTATTTTGAAAGTATAAAACATTATAGCATGTATTTCTAAAGAAAAAAAAAACTTCATAATGTTTTGTTTGAAATAACTAGAAAATGCCACTTTTTTAAAAAATCGTTTCTGGAAAATTCTGGAATATTTTCTGTCTGTTCATATGTTTTTGGACCAAAAAATATTTTAGACTGGACCTTTAAATGATACAGATTGAAACTTCAGGTTCTCCTGTTTAAAATGATATATGACACTTGAGGCTGACTGCTAAAATAAAAATAAAACTGCTTTTAAAAAAATAATAATAATATAGGCCCATTAGGTGCCCACAAAATACCTCTAGGTCTTTAAGGGTTAATGCACTTTGAGTTAACATGAACTAACAATGAACAACTTAATCTCTAACATTAACAAAGATGATTCACTAAAAAATGTATTTTTCATTGCTTATTCATGTTAGTGAATGCATTAACTAACGTTAACTAAAACAACCTTATTGTACAGCGTTACCATCTTTGGCTTAGTGTGCTTCTTATACTTCAACTCTACAATAAATCCCACTTAGTTTGATCCAGCATCGAACACAATTATTCTCATCCACTTTAAAAGCCTGCCTTTTTGTTCTTCAGACTCTTTTTGGGAACACTAGGGCTTGATATTACTATACTGTAACTGATAATAATCAAACAAAAAACTCTCAAGTTTGAAGAAGGAGTGAAAATGAGGGCGGCTTGGGACAATTGCATATCAAAGCATGAAGAAAATCCGCCCGTGGGGCATGTGCATATTTATAATAGCCGTATAATTAAGATGAAGGATGCTCAGTATCTCAGAGTAGATGTAAGACAGTACTGCTCAGTGTGTGTGTGTGTGTGTGTGTGTGTGTGTGTGTGTGTGTGTATATATGACTCCCACACACAGATGCTGCAATAGTTACAGCCAGACTATGTTTTATCTAAAAGAGCACCATTAACCTTGAGTGCAGAAGCACATAATAAGATTGTATGTGAGTGTGTGTGTGTGTGTGTGTGTGTGTGTGTGTGTGTGTGTGTGTGTGTGTGTGTGTGTGTGTGTGTGTGTGTGTGTGTGTACCTGCGGGCGAATGACTCTTTCGATGTTCCTGAGGGCTGTATCAGGTGAAGGAGGCGAGCAGTCAGGAGTCAAGCCTGTAGAGTCATCTCCATGGTTACCTCGCTCTGCATCGCTGACCGACACATGTGAGAAGTGGCCTTCAGAAAGACAAAACACAGAGGAATGGGCTGAAATTAAAGCCGCTGGATTCAGAACATCGAATACAATGAGCTAGAGGTGACTTCTAGGATGGAATCGGTGCAATAAATGCACATTGAAATGAAAAGGATAATTTGAAAGTCATCAGACTAAAGTGCTACTTATGTCTGGTGCAGCTGAGAAGTAAAATGGAAATAAGTTAAATCATGCAGAAATATATTGAATGCACATTCAGCAATAACCAGAAAAGAACCCTGTGTCTGCAATAGCAGTGAAATGGTTGAACATTAAGCTTGTAATTTACATTCTTTGCACCATGATAATGATGCAAGGACGATGTCTGATGCCGATCACATCATCTTTGTATCTTTGTGTGTGTGTGAATTTACAAGTGTTGGGTTTGTGATTTTTATTCTTATTAAACCGTTCTGTTGATTTCATAAACTCTTTTACTTGTATTTTTATAAGTGTGACACAGTGCCATCCTGAATGAATGAAATTTCTTTTTGGCCAGGCACTAGGACCCAAACGGAAGCTGCTTGGGAGCTATGTATAGTGCAGAAAAAGGATTAACAAAGCATATAATGAATTAAGCTGTGCATGATTGGTGGCTGTCACAGAGTTTTTTAATCTTGTGTTAATCAAAGATCCTGGACATATATTATTTATATATATATATATATTTATATATATGATGCTATCTAAAAATTGGCATACACATGCATGTATAATTTAAAATATAATTCATTTAATGCAATTAATTAAAATTGCTATTTATAAATTTGAAGTAAGCATGATTTATTTGTTTATTACTTTTTTTAAGAGACGTTTTATATAATGGTCTGGGTTGTGATTATAGTGATCAATAAAACTGTCAATGAAACATCCAGTAGGTATGCAATTAATTCCAAACAGAAACAATGCTTTACTAGACAGCAAAAACAAACAATTCAAGAAATCTTCTGTTCCACATTTAAAATCCTAAATTAATTTATAGTAAAGGGAAACATATAATAATAATAATAATAATAAACTTAATTTAATATAGCAGCTTTAAAAGTAGTACCTCAAGGCACTTCACAGACATAAAATGTGCAGTAGTAAAAGATACTAGGATGAAGGCAAAAAAGTAATAATAAAAAAGTAAAACACATAAAACTATAATGATAGTAATAGATATCATAAGATCATTATCATTATCAATAGATCTAAAAAATCAGATAAAAATCAAATAAAACCTACCTTAAAAAGCAAGTTTAAGTTTGATATAGGAAAGTAATACTACTACAAACTATAATTGTTGTATTGCATCTATAAAAGTACCACAGCAAATTAGTTCAATTACTTTCCCATAGAATTTAAAATTTTCTAAATACTGTATTTATATTAAAATAGTATTTTTTTCACGTAAGGCACATTTGCTGAGTAAACAGTGAATGAATTTAAAACCAATTCAACTCTAACAAGAGCACAGCGTCAGAATTTCATCAGTCATCTTTATGTAGCTTGTGTGGACGCTACTGTGCTACTTGCTTAGAATAATAGCTTCGCGACTGAAAAGCTGTTTGATTAAGAAAGTAACGATGTTACCGCCACGCTACTGAGAAATGTAGTTAAGCTAGTAGTAGGGCTGTAACGATACACCAAACCCACGATTCGGTTCGTATCACGATTTTTGACCCACGATTCGGTTCGTATCACGATTTATTTATTTTTTTCGTGTGGGGTGGGAAAAAAAAGATTTTTAAAACTATTTTTTATTAAATAACATTTGAAAAATCTTTATAAACTAAACATCAAAGAACAATATTAACTATGCAAATTATTAACAATATAAATAGCCATATATAAAATAAATAAATAGCCAAAGCTATATCACTTCTGTTTTCTTTGTAACAAAATACTGTTGAAAAACCAAACAGAACTAAACTCCATTGTTTAGATGGTTCAAGCATGTTGAAAATTATTTTTCAATCAAGTTCTCTTACATAGAAAAAGTAAATTAAATAGCTACTAGGGATGCTCATTTCGTTAATTTATCTAACCGACAACCGCCGCTCATTAATCGGTTATTAACGGTTAACTGGTCAGATTACTATTAATTTTATATTAAACAAATTGACGTGTCTATTTTGTGTCTGACACATTAAATATTGCATTTTAAAATACTGATTTATTTTTATATATTAATAGCGGAACAGAACAACAGAGCATCTTCACGCACCTGCAGTGTTTAGCTCAGAAGAGCAGAATAATCTAAATAAAATGAATAAAATAAATAGGACTGCCCTAAATTATTTTCACTTAAATAATTAATTTATATTACAAAACGAAAATACTGACTGATTCTTTTAAATAACCGGCATGGGCTTTTTTTCCAATCATATGTTTTTTTCTTCCGTCAAATAAAAATAGCTGACTTCCTCAAATTGCCCGCTCCACGGAAAATATGCATTTATTTAATGCCCCGCTGTTATTATTATAATCACAAAACCTTTTACATTTTTAATAGAAATCATTATTTTAAAGAATATGTCCTGATATAGCCTAGGTTTCCTCTCTCTCTCCCTCGCGGTTAAGTGCGCGCTGCGTAATGAAAAGACAGCAACAACGCGCGCATATGTAGACTTTTTGTAAACAGTTTTGTTGTTTAAATATGATATTGCATTAATCTGCGTACATGCTTTAAGCTGTAAAATAAAAAGTAAAGCCTATTTGTTGCGTTTATTCACAGATCCAGGTCAACATAAGCGCTGGTTAAGCATCAACAGGTCTGTATCAAACAGCAATATTCTTCTTCCATTTTGCTTCTTTGGCAAATGTGTCTGTAGGCACGGGTTATACGTTATCGTCCCGCAAATTAAGTATGCCTTGCAGTTAAACAAGGGGCCGAAAACGAGGCGCACCTCACTGCCTTTATGTTGACATGGAAAAAAGAAGAGGCGCGGTCCTTTTATGAAACGACTGAATCAGCTGGGTATCGATTGTGCAAAAGTGTTGCTGTCTGTGTTGTTACAATTGTAATATTTAATACTATTGTGATATTCAAGATTTGTATATTCATACAGCTTTGGATAACTTAAAACAACGATTAGACCATCAGAGCGGTGTTAATGCGTCCTGAAGTAAAGCGAAACGGCTATAAACTCCAGCAAGATAGAGTGATTATATGCAGAGCCATATACCTTTATCTCTAAATAAAGTATAACTATAGAAACTGTGTACATCTTAATTTAAAGCTTCGTCGTGTTTTCTGACCTCACGCATCGCGAACCTGTCAGTCAGCACTCTCAAAGGTTCAAACAGAAAGCGCACAGCATGGTTACAGAAAAGTTTGCGCTGTTACCTGACATCTGGTGAATGCCCATCCCTCTCTGCTCAGCCACATTAACAGTGTGAGCAAATCATCGTATATGCGCTGAAAATCCGGCCGCTTTAACAGCATTGGCAATGTTTCTGGCGTTGTCGGTTGTCAAGCGAGGTTAAGTTGGTTTTGTTTTTGATATTCTTGACACATTCAGACGGTCCCTTACTAAGAGCTCCGTGCGAGCTCTCCCGGCTAAATATTGCGAGGGCTTAAACGGAGCAGTGCTTGTAATGTCGAACGAAAAAAAGTGTTAATTAGCTCAACTTTTGCAGGCACGCGTGACGTTATTGGAAAGGTAGTCACGGGGTGTGTCGCGATTCTCCCTTATCACACCGCGACACAGGATCATAGATCTGAGTGTTGTGATTTCGATTTTATATCGTGTATCGTTACAGCCCTAGCTAGTAGCGTCACTATTTGTATCTACGCTACTGCCCAACACTGGCATGGAATCTATCAAAGAACCATAAATAAAAATCAATTATTATTAATAATATTAGTAACAAGGTCTCATCCATCGAATATCAATACAACACACTGTGTCTTTCGGTTCCAAGTCACATAATCCTAAAATAGCACATGTACAGTATATACTGTACATTGACACACTGCAGTGTGGGAGTGGGATGGCATTCTCATCTGAGCAGATTTCCCCAGAGTGAGATTCCTCTCTGTAAATGAGGGATGAAACAGAGGAAAGAGAAAGAAAAAGAGCAGAACGAGGTGAAGGGTGGGTTACATCTGACTCCTCCGCCAAATTACTGAGAGAAACCCTTTCCATCAATCACACTGCTGCTCTGAAACGGTAACTCCATCCCTTTAGGTGCATTCTCTGTTTCTCTGGATCTGCATCAAGAAATGCGGAAAACAGTATGGGATGATTATGTTAGATCTAAATGAGTGACTACCAAGTGAGTCAATAAGCCCTACAGCATCCGTCCTGACAAATTCAGAGATGAAGCCAAGCTGCATACATTTATTCAACACCCTCCTTTCCTCCTGTTTTTCAGATCTGTTGACTGCCAACAAAAAGGCAGGAGATGAGTAACAAGATTCGCCATAGTCAAAACACTGGAGACTTAAAGCGAAAAGCATCATTTATAGCTCGTATGCCATCGGTGCAGGTAAACAAGCAGGTAATAGGGTAATACAACTAATCAAATCCAAGCAGCATGTGCATATGTTATACAGCAGGGATGAAATTGTAAAAAAAAGGGAGATAAATCATCACTCTAAGGCAGTGGTTTCCAAAGTGGGGTCACGGGACAATGGGGGAAATTAAATTCATTTTCTTAAAACACCCCTATTATAGGTTTTTGAAAATGAACTTCCCTGCAGTGTGTAACACAGCTCTAAGTGAAGTGAAATATTCAGCTAAGGCTTAAATCTGAAAGTGCACCGTGTTTACAGGAGTCGACTCATAGTGGTTCGAATGAATCGCTGTGGAAACGAGTCTATACCCGTGCGGGTGTGACATCGAGACTGAACTCAAGCCCCACCAATTTGCATAGAGCCCCAGAAAATTGAAACCCCCCAGCCCGACCCACAAACATTGTAGAAAGAAAAAGAGAAACACAAACATTGTAGCATATCCCGGTTGAATCATGTTGTGAAGACGCTGTGCTCTTAAGA